TCATGGAGTAGGGGAAGCATAGGGGGCGCTCCTTGTTCTTCTCACCTAGGTTGGGCAACTGCTTGATCAGCTGAGGCAGCTCAATGTTGTCAGTGGGCCTCTCCTGCAGGTAGAAAAAGAGATGGAGTTTTCATTCTAAGGCTTAGAACTGCTAATAGTCAGACTAGAGGCTTAAAATTGTAAAAGAGTTAAACTAATAATGATGAGCATCTCACCTGTGAATAGGCCAGAAGGACAGTAACAAGCCATCTCATATTTAAGACATATTCTCAACTTACCTCCTGATTGGGTTGCCAACGCATGTGCCTCATTCATAGACCCCCAACCCAGCAACGGGTACTTCCTGATATAGCTACCACACAGCAATTCTGGTGTTTTTGACTTAGAGGTTCCCATCATTGTTCAGTTACCATGAGAGTGGCTACAAAATGTATAATTTTTCACAATGCAACATAGAAGCTCACAAAAGATTTTTAGTTTCAATTCCATTTGTTACAATGGATATTCTTTGCTGTGACATACTGTCTGTTTTATTTTGCCTTCTAAATCCCCTGTGTGCAAGGAATGGCTGGGGTTACCATTCACTGGTAGCACACAGGATCAAACGCATATATGTATATATATGGATAGATGTATATATTTGCATATTTATGTATGTATGTGTATGTATGTACATGTATGTATGTATGTATGTATGTATATATGTATGTATGTATAATATATGCATAATATATATATATATATATATATATATATATATATATATATATATATATATAATACATACATACATACACACACACACAACACATGCACACATACACACACACACATACACACACACACACACACACACACACACACACACACACACACACACACACACACACACACACACACACACACACACACACACACCACACACACACACACACACACACACACACCACACACACACACACACACACACACACACACACTACTCTCAACCTCAATGTCAATAGGCTAAATAAATGTCCTAGACAACTCAAGTGTTACAATTTTCTTTTTTTGTACATGTCCAAAATATACAGTGGTCAAAATAATCAGGAAATAAGGCAAATATAACGTTCATAGGTACACAAGGCTAAAAATCATTGTAGAAAGCCAGCCAATATCCTCAAGAACTGCAGTGTTGCCTCCTATATTTTTGTCTTTACATGGCCACTTGAGCTAAATGTCATTGCTACACAGAGAAACTAATATTGTTTTCCTAGAGCAAATATTCAGAGATATTAAGAAAAAAATCAAAACTGTCCAAAGTAAGACAAGTTAAGGTGGGGGGGGGGGTCGGAGATTTTGAGTCGGAGTGGTCGAAAATGAGTTATGGTCAGTTTCATATTCGTAAATGAGAGTAGAATTACCCACGTGAATATGAACTTCCGCGGTGAAAAATTTGGGCTGTGCGCAAGGCCAGAACCCCAAGTCCCACTGCCACTGTGTCAGCAATTTTCACCCTTCTGCACTCTAGCTTCACAGGAGCTAATAAGATGCATTATATTTTGACATTACCTATTGAAATGGATCACAGGAAGATAAGTGTCTTATTATAACAGTTTTATACCAAAGTGAAAGATTTATGATATGAAAGACGAAGAAAAAATAATTATGCGACTTTTCACATTTCTTTCCCATAAAATATAGTAGACATGATTCGATGTTGACAAATTCATCATAAAAGTATGTTTAGGGTTCGGTGATAATACATGAGCAGTTACAAGTCTGTATCTCCAAAAATAAACTCGCAACGAATAGATATTCACACGGACTGGAGGCTCATGCGTGTTCAAGGCCATCTTGCAGGGACCCACGCAACAAAGCTCCAAGCGTCGCCACCACTTTAGAATTTTCTGATTGCTATAGTTTTACGTATGCGCTTTCATTTAAAACTAAATAATCAATTAAACATCATTATGTCATTATAAATCCATTTACGAGAAAAAATAAATGTAAAGAAAGATTATGATAAAAATTGTTCGTGTAAACTCGTACAATCGGCCTATAAATACCTGATACCTATTGTTACATCACAAGAAGCGTCCAGGATAAACGAATATACGAGATTTGGTATAAGAGATTTGTATTTCAAAATATTTTTGATCTATCAACGTTTTCTGAACGGTTATTTGTAATGAACACTAAACAATTCATTGTCCCTCCATAACAAGTACTCCCCTGGTGACTAAACGTTTATCGCTTGTTTCGAGGCTGAATCAAGTGGTTAGGCGATGGGGAAGAAGAGTAGACTGGAATAAAAAGAAAATAAATAAATGAAATAAATAATTATGCATCTAATAAGTATATGCGCATATACGCATATACACATGCACGACCATGTACCTTTACAATAATTTACTTGCGTATACACATGTAAACGAATATATACACAATAAAACAGCAATAATAGAGGTTTAAAACACGAAACAACCGATTTTATATAACGGTCATATTGTCTTGGGTCTGGATTTGCCCCTTTTCACGGGAGTCATTTGTTTGCTTGTTTCTATAACTTACAGACTAATGATCATATCTTTACCTAACAAAGTGCGTTTGAAAGAGGAATAAGAGTAGTTTCTACAGTAATGAAATGGTTAAGATCCATAAATGAAAAAATATAAAAAATGATCTTCAAATATCTAACTTTTTGTTTGTTTGTTTTTTCGATGTTTCTTTTTTCAAGCTTCAGAAGATTCCTTGTCCTAAAGTTTTTATCCGATTAAAATTTTGGATATATCTTTGGAAACCTTGTGGAAATGCGCAGACAACTACCAAGCAATTTTATTGAAATGTTGCTTACTTTTTTTATACGAATTTTTGAAAATTGAAAAAAAAGACTAAAAAAAAATATATATTTTTTTTCTGAGGAAACTAAATCAAATTTCTAAAAAAGGGCTTGGTAGTTTTCTTAGGAATTCATTGATGTTCATTCACATTTTTTTCATGACACAAATCATAATCCTCTGGGACAAGGAACCTTCGGCGCATACGTGAAAAAAATTGAAAAAAATGTTTTTTGCGGGGGGCAGCGCCCCCCACATAGGAACCCCAACAAATTTGGTATCAAAAGATGCAGAATATGAAAGTATATAAAATATCCAAAAATCAAGAAAATCCATAAGACCTTTCATTTTTTAGAAATATTTACCAATATGACCCCCCACCCCCATAATTGGCCACGCCCCTTTTAGGGACGGTCCCCTTAATGGTACATAAAATCACAGAAAACACAAAAAACACAGACAGTTAAGCACTTATGCACAGACTCTGTCACAGTTACACAACCACTCACAAACAGATATCATTCTATCACAAGAGTCATCAACTTGGCCTCAGTCTCCATGCTGGGACTCATTAATCTATCCTGAATTAGCTTACCACAATCTCTGGGTTGTGTCCCTTTTCAAACTCTAAGGATGCAGCCAAGACCATGAGTGCCCTCCTGAACACCATGTGGGGCGTCTTGTGGAAGAAGTAGTAATATAGCTGTGTTGTGTCTAACAGCACCTGGAATAGAATATTTCTTAACTTTTGGCTCTTTCTCTTCTTTCTTTCCCTCTACTGACTTCCTTATTCTAATACGAATTGTTTAAATTCTGAACTAAAATTTCATATATCTATGCTACTTTATACCAGGAACAGGAGGAGGTTGAGGAGGAGATTTTAAGGAGGAGGCTGAGGAGGAGATTTTAAGGAGGAGGAGGTTGAGGAGGAGATTTTAAGGAAGAGAAGGTTGAAGAGGAGGAGGTTGAGGAGGCGGAGGTTGAGGAGATTTTAACCCACTTGCACCAGGTGTCACACACATGTGACGCCCGGAATACGGACAATGGCCAGCTGTCCCACTGATTTTGTAGCCTGAATCATGCGCCACTTGAACAGGTTCCTGAACAAGCCTGCGAGCCAATTTTGATACAGGGATTAACACCCTCCAAATGTACTGTCGCAAGCGGGTTAAGGAGGAGGTTGAAGAGGAGGAGATTTTGAGGAGGAGGTGGAGGTTAAGGAGGAGGTGGTTGATGTTGAGGTTAAGGATTAGGATTAGGAGGGGGAGGAGGTGAGGAGGGGGAGGGAGGGAGGAGGGGGAGGAGGAGGAGGAGGAGGAGGAGGAGAGGAGGAGGAGGAGGAGGAGGAGGAGGAGGAGGAGGAGGAGGAGGGAGGAGGAGGAGGAGGAGGAGGAGGAGGAGGAGGAGGAGGGAGGAGGAGGAGGAGGAGGAGGAGGAGAGATAGAGGAGAGATAGAGGAGGAGGAGGAGGAGATGGAGGAGAGAGAGGAGGAGGAGGAGAGGAGGAGATGGAGGAAGAGGAGGAGGAGGAGGAGGAGGAGGAGGAGGAGGGGAGGAGGAGGAGGAGGAGGAGAGGAGGAGGAGGGAGAGGAGGAGGAGGAGGAGAGGAGGAGGAGATGGAGGAGGAGGAGGAGGAGGAGGAGGAGGAGGAAGAGGGAAGAGAAGAGGAGAGGAGGAGAGGAGGAGGGGGAGAGAAAGAGGAGAGGAGAAGGAGGAGGGGAGGAGGAGAAGGAGGAGGACAAGGACGAGGAGGAGGAGGAGGAGGAGGAGAGGAGGAGGAGGAGAAGAGGAGGAAGGAGAGGAAGAGGAGAGGAAGAGGGAGAGGAAGAGGAGGAGGAGAGGAAGAGGAGGAGAAGAGAAGGACAAGGAGGAGTGTAAGAGGTAAGAGAAAGATGATATAATAACCCATAAAAAACAATATGAACCAAAATGAAAAACATACCTGGTCATTTGAAAACTTGGAAGATCTGTACCACCAAATGGCAACCACTGTTGGCAGAGCAATCATGAACACTAGACCATACAGCCCAAGGACCCATAATGAATTCTCTTTCTCCACAATCCAAGAAGGAAGTGCGATGCCAAAATGCATGGCACCTGGCCCATCAGGGTGGCCATAACGTTCATAATTTCTTCTCGCCTCATCATCTGTGAGTGCTAGGTATGCTGCAGGGTAAGAAAGAGTATTTGTAAAATCCAAATCTTAAGCATCTAGGTGATACAAAGTTTATTCCTCTGACCATGAGTCATACATCTCTACAGAAGTAGAGGCATGCATGTGAATATGTGAATATGTCTATAATTGTTCAGGAAAAAATGAATAACTCGCAGCCTATCCCTCAGCAAGTCTTTGCACTGCTTGACAAAATGGTTTTGCTATCAGTATTGGGATCAAAATTAAGAGACAATTTATATGCTCTTCCTCCTTTTTCTAAAAACATAAGTAGACAAATCAACAATACTTTTTATTTGCCCAATAGCATATCAAAGATAGGGCACCCAAACCAAAGCACTGGGCAAATAACAAGCTTGTTCATTCAGCTGCTGTTTGTTAACATATGGATTATAACTAAGGTACGTTAACCCCTACACTCCGGATGATATTACGGTCCATGTCATGGAAAAATCTGGGTTGTGGGCTGTGTCACATAAACTTGCCATCACAAGTGAAGTCCAGGGTAAAGGAAAAGACCTGCCATGAGTGCAAAAACCTCTTGGAGTGTGATTTAACTCATTTGGCACTTAGAAGGGGCCTTAGCATTATGTGGAATGTAAGGTGCATAAGCTGTAACTGGAAGAGTGCCAGCTCCAGGACGGACACCATTTCCATGCTGCATACCGCATTTTCCTGGCCGATGTGACCAACACACAGGACATATTATGGAAAATTGAAAATTTCGAAAAAATAAGATATATGACACAAATAACCAAATGTTTCACTTTTTGTTTTCCTCACTGAGTTAGTTACTACATTGAGAGACGATATGGATTCTGTGCAAGGAAAATAAGCTATTACTATCTGAATAAAGCAAACCAAAAGACAAATATGGACACTGGAAAAAAGGGAAAAAAGTTTTAAAAGTTTACACTAAATAACTTTGCAAAGAGGAGGCACAGTCTTGTCACCGCTCATGAGTGTTCTCGCGCTGGCCTACACACCACACACCCGAGATGTTGGCTACTTGCCTGTATTTTTGGCACCGTGATTTCCGTGACACAACCAGATCCAACGGGTTAAGCAAATACATACGGTTCAAAACTCCTTGAAAGAAGCAAACATGTTAGATACAAGATAGGTTGCCAGTATTTATCTAAGGCAAATTTTGATCTTCAGCATTTGAAGAGTTCAATTTTACAAACCAGACAACATACATTCCATTGCTAATTTCAAATACATCAAGAATCAGCAAAGAACAAAGTAGAGCAATTTATCGAAGTTATCACATCATATGAATGAAAATGGGGAGAGATTACAATATACACATAATACAATACACTTTCTTGTTTTATATAATACAATAAAATGTTATTTAGGAGCATTTATAAGTAAGTCTAAGTAATCATAAATACTAAAAAGATGATATACCGAAAGGCAATTCGGACACATTATAAAATGGTGTGAGAAGGGGGAATGTGGTAAGAGGAAAAGATCTCGGGGTTGGCTGGTTCAAATATGCGATACAACACAATTACGAACTCTCACGCATTACCTTTCATGCACAAGAATATAGAGGCAGGAAAATATGCTTGTCTTTAGATCTTGCAGAGGAGGACTTACTGGGGAGTGGGGGTATGGGTGATATTGTGGGTGTGGCCAGTGGAAACTTAACAAATGGAATAACATATATTACAGGATACTGCATAGGTCTCATTTATAGAGAGTGAGAGATAGAGAGAGAGAGAGAGAGAAAAAAAAAAAAGTTACTCTTGACAGGCTTGCCACCATCAGGGCAAAAATTACTGTGTACACATTAAGCAACTGCCAACAACGGTGGTGACTGGGACTTTGGGGTTATTGGATTCACAGGTTGCTATGGACTTCTTGATTACATAGTGAAGGTTTCTCCACCTTTAGTCTACTATAACAAAGGCAGACTTTACACTATATCTATATGCACATTTTTATCTCAACAGTGGTCATTGTGACAAATATAGAAAAAAATATGAATCAGAATAAACATATTCATGGTGCAAGAGATGCAACTGACTGATACTCAAAACTGGTCAGAAACATTTTTCAATTGAAGCTATTCACTCTCATTCATATCTTTTTCTGAAATATATCCTTTTTAAGCATTATAAATATAATAATATAAATTAACTCCTCACCTTTATTGAGTTTCATAAACTTTCTCTCATCTCCAGTTGGCTTATCAGGATGGTAAATAAGCGACAGCTTCCTATAAGCCTTTTTAATCTCTGAGGTGCTAGCAGTCTGAAATACAGAAAAAATATCAATTTTACCGTAATACTGTACTGTAGCAAGGATTTAATATGATGACTTTCTTTTTTCATGAATAATGAAAACTGTTAGTTCAGGAGGTAAAGAAAAAACTAATTATCCAGAAAAAAGGAGATTCTTTGCAACATCCACTCAGGGTACAAATTGTGTACAAACACAAAATGACTTACCAATCCAACACCCAAGATATCATATGGATCAAAGTTTGCATTTTCATAATCAAACTGTTGGAGCTTATATACAAGGCAGGCCATCACCACCCAGCCGGCCATGAGTAAAATTCGTCTGTAATGAGAAAGGAGGGAAAGGTTTATGTAAGAAGTTTTGAGAAGGGCAATTGATAAAGCTCTAACAATTGTGTTTAATTTTGTTTACCATGTTAATGATAATGCAAAGATCTAATGTCCACTCCTGAAAAGTGCAAAAAGCTCTAAAGAACTACTTTCTTCACCACTGCAGTAAGGCTACGAAGCAATTCAACTGTTGCCAGTGTAAGGGTCTGTGGCAGCCTCTGCTGTCTCCAAAAGTCACCCTGAACCCACATGCATAAAAGGCAGTATAAACATTGGCAGTAGTGGATCTAGGAAGTTGTGTTGAGGCCATATAATAATACCATGTCTTCAAAAGGAATCAGATGAACTTTACAACATATCATTTTACATTTGTATAATAACGCCCACACACGTGTTTCTGCAATCCATAAAAAATGATTTCATAAAATATACAAAGCTTGTAAAGCCCAGTTCAATCTATCTATACATGTCTTTAGTTACAGACCATTCCTGCCCATATTACCATCACACAAATGCATGACATTACTGCTTAGGTAGCATTCTTCTGATATTATAAAGGCTCATGACCAGAAGATTATCTGAGCCCTCTCTCCTTTATATGGAATATAAGAAAATTTCAAATTTCAAGTAAGGGGACTGTACAACATCTGGAAGTATTTTGGGAGCACCTCAGGCTATATTGTTTTAATTCTATTCCTTATTTAATCATTAGACTCTCAACTAACTCCTTAAAGTTAAAAGATTAAAAAAAATATTTTGCATGAAAGTCTAGATAAGATATCCTATTCCTTCACCATTTTTCATAATAATGATGAAAAAAAAAAAGAATGCACTATAGATTTCACATTCATTTCATCAAGTCAGAATATCACCTAGTATCTTGTGCAAGATCATGCTTATGCTATAAAAATTAGCCATGTGAAGTATTTTTGAAAATAGCAATATAACAACTTTCTTTTTTTACTGAAGATATCAAATATAGGGCTACCATTTGAAACTGTTCGGCAGATTTGAAATTTCCTGGAATATTTTGCATCATTTGACACAAATTACTCATGCTGGAAAGCAAAACTATGTAGGAGGATTTTGTGTCCCAGACTGACACCCCCCCAAACTGTTATTTTTGAAAATTCTTTAAGATAACAAAACAAATCTTGAAGCAAATTCAATTAATGCACACTACTACCCATGCATTCATACTACTGTATGATTGTTAGAACAATAAAAAAGAAGAAAAAATATTGCTGGCATATCACTTCAAAGCAAAGATTGTAAAATTATTTTTTCATTTGTATCTTTCAAATAAAGTACTTTTAATTTATACTAAAGTTGCTTTTTATTTTCAAAAATTATCTTCTAAGAGTTTCACATATCTGTATATGCCAAACATGGAATTGCGTAGTTATACCATTAAATCATAAGCCTTCCTTAGAAGCTGCCATTAACAAGCACAGATATAGCCTATGTAGAGGGTACTGTACAGCCAAATTAAGAAAAAGTGTCGTATCACATTTTTCACCATTTCTATATAGTTTTATACACTGGGATTTATTTCCTGTAAATATATGGCAATTTAGAAAAAAAAAAATCTATAGACATCTAAACATATGGCTATTTAGAAAAAATATATATGGAAAAATATATATACATATATATGACAAACATCTAATTATGAAATGAGTCAGACCAACGTACGCAATAGGTGTTTCAAGATTTTCTTTAACTTAGAGAGGGATACAAGTAAATAACAGTTTATTGGCACCTTCTTATACTTTTTTTACTTACATTTTTCACTGATAACATAAGGGTTTAATATAATGCTATTCTTCCATTTAATATCATGCTATTCTTCCAGTTGTATTGTACGGCACTGCTTTTTCAACTCTGGCTTAGCATCACTTTGTTTACATTGTAGATAGCTATCCTATTACATTTTCCTTTTTCAACTCTTCTTTTAGTTCCATGGAAAGAAAATCAGTTGCTGCATCATGAACTTCATATGCTCCTTCTGCTAGAGCAGCATTAATAGCAGGTCCTTTAATTCTCTCTTACAGTGAGGCTTGAGTTGGAGCTGATACTGGAGCTGGGGATGGCTCTGGAGATGCCACTATAAATGCCATTGGAGTTGACAGTAGAGATGGCACTGGAGCTGGTGCAGGTGCTGGAGCTGGTGGTGGTGCTGGTAAACACTTGAGCTTTCATGAGGGAGACATACTCCATGTTCCCTTCTTAACCCATTGCCTCCGGGAAAATATAGAGTGCAGTTGGCCTCTGCTCCAGATACTACGAGCAGTGACTTGGCTTGCCTGTAGGGCTTTTTACAAACAAGGCTGGTGTATAACACTCATTGTGCCGCACCAACAAATATATGAATTCTTTTTATATCACTTGTATGCTAAACATGATTTTAATGGCTTTGCTTATTTAGAGATGTATGATATGCACTGTAGTTTTTAGATCAAACCTGCAGTAGCCTAATTATGTACATTGGAGTCCACTTACATAAATAAAGTATGTTACACTCTATATAGAAGATTGAATGTGGTTTATTTTAATTGGTAAGTGATCTCTTCCAAACAAGGCAGGCAAATTATTAATTTGCTATAATTTACCCTTTAAATAAAAAAATACATTCACATCTCCTATTTCCCCTCAGGCAATACCTCAGGCATATGGTGCAAGCATGAAGGTTCCTTATAAAGAACAGCATAAAATGTAATGCACACATCATCATAAAACGGCATGAATGACCCATCACCCGGAGGTGCATACAAGTTGGCTATGATATAAATATATCACGTTACCAAGTCAGCCAGGACACGAACCCTACATCATCCATACATTATGAATTAGGCTATTTGAGCAAGATGGGGTTAAAGATTTTAAGATGGCATACTGTGCCATTCCTCTGACCATTTTAATGGTCTTGGGGATTACCTATTCCTTGTTAGAATTATCATTCCTTTTACTCTCATTCACCTGACTTGTTTGACACATTCATTGCACGATGTCTTTTCTTTTGTTTTGATTTCCTTCAGATATCAAATACATTTTGGACATTTCCCTTTCCCAAAAAACTTGCTTTTTTCAAGCACTTGTTCATCTGAACTGATAGTTGTCATATGGGCAAGAATTTGCTCATTCTTTCTTTTTAATTAGACACTTTCAGAAATGTTTAGCTCTAATGATCCATTTGCCTAGGATCCCAGCAATATTTGTTTTCATGTGTAAGAAGTTTCTCTATGAAGTGCACACAAAGTTGCCAGGAGGGATCTACCTCCCAGAGGCAGGTAGCAGGGGGATCTACCTCCCAGAGGCAGGTAGCTGCTTCTGATTTTTTCATCATTTCCAAAGTACCAACAATATCTTCCTCATGGAGGATATCATACCTGTCCTCAGTTTCCATGGGCTGGTGTGCAGCCATCATCCCTTCAGTGGGAGGGGTCATTCACTGAGTACTCAGGGACCAACCTAAGTGCCTGTCCTTTGTAAATAACCAGTCACAAACATGGGTCACCTTTGGGGGCTCACAGTACATCTGTGAGTATGCATAGGATCTTTCAGTACTTCTGCTTTCACTGTTTATACTTTATAGCACTTTCAGACTTTATATGATATGAAAATTATAATGTACTGGTTCAATATACAGCAGGCAGATCTGTGAAAACCTAACTATCTAGGCAACACACATCTTTTAATTAATGACAGGCCATATGGCCACAAGTCACAGGTGGTTTTGGGTGGTCTTGTGATAACTATTACTATTACTAGCTATATTAATACTGGTGGTGGTGATGGGTGGTGTGGTGATAACTATTACTATTACTAGCTATATTTACTAAATCATTACAATAACAACAAACAATAACAATAATAACAATAGACACCTACTGTGTATTTTTCTGGAGTCCTTTCCATTTCTCTGGCTTCCTTAGTTTGGAGTGTTTTCGCTGGAATATCTCGCATTTCTCCTTCTCCTGGTCTTCTGCTGCTAAAGAATATAAAAATAACATCGGCTCCAAAATTATGAAATACAGTCCAATTGACCATATTTCGAGTATGTGACTCAGGTAGATTCTAAATGCTTTTGCCATAATCCAATGACGATGATGATGATCGTGATGATCTCAGTAAGAATAGCATTGAAAATGAAGTCAGTGGTGCTGATGATAATTATAATGACAACAACTATCGTATCAGTGGTTGGTGGCAGTGACATAGACTATGATGGTTATAATTACAACAATGATGGCAACAGTAGTTGCATTGACAGAAATGGTGACGGTAACAGTGGTGACAGTGGCGGCTGTGACATTGGTGATGGTGGTACTGACAGTAGCGGTTTTGATGGCGGTGTTGGCAGAAGCAAGTAGAGATCATCCTCATCATCAGAAACATCAAAAATTATTTGAGAAAGCTTTTAAACAAAGATAGTTTAATCACAACTAGTAATGCTAGATGCCATTTTAAATATAAGAAATAATCTTCACTCCTTTTTTTTTTCTTTCTCTTTTTTTATCTGGATTTGTCATCTATGTAATATGAAGCTTATCATTACATTTGTAAGACTTTAGTTGCTAAAGCTTATATCTTGTACTTTATGTACTTTATTAACCTATTTGATTATCCTGCTATATCATCATTTATTGAATAGTCATGAAAAACAAAAAAGAGGAAAACCTATGTGTATCACCTGGGTATGTAGAAGGTCTTTATCCGGAAAACTTAAGGTTAAATATAAGAGAAGGAACAAGGAATACATCCGTGATATTAGCTAATACAAGGTAGCCCAATCTTATTTAATATGCATGACTACTATGAGATTACTATAAGCCACTAGCATGGATAGCTTATATTAACTATCAGTAACCTTTGGACCTTTGGCAAGCACGATGAGGACATATGGCAAGATAATACTCAGCACAAGATAAACCTTGTGTCACTAAATCCCTTGACTGATAGAAAGGTACATATGCACATATGACCATCCTGGGTACCATTACTTCTCAAGATCTCATGAGGGTATCTCAAGACTTGCAAGGGATTTCAGCACCAGTACATTTGCAGCGAATTACTCAAACCTAGATCCCACATCAAGTTTGATGAGGTTTTCTTATTAACCCTGACTTTGCTTAGCCTAACCTACCCAGCAATTCATAATGAAGCTTAAGATCAGCAATCCTCATTTGACTTGGGAAACTTGCTTATCACTCATTTGTGCATTCATTATGTCCTACCTATCCTTCTTCTGTGCTACTCACTAGTGAATGATGCACTCCATCCTGCCTAATGCATGTGAGAGACATGTTTCACAACTGCAATTTGTGCATTAGTCTATGACCTTAATTACAAGAAAATACCGTTTCCATTTCATTTTACTTCCATATAAATTCAACTTACATGCCAATTATTACAACTCTAAATTGAATTTTGTCAGATAATAGTGTGTTCTCGTGTCTAAATTATACGAGGGTATAATGCACATCTAGAAATTGCCTCTAAAGATTAAGGTTAGCTATCACTTTGTATCTCTGTTAAACTATACGATGGAATCTTCATTCTTTCATAAGGACTTTAAACTAATGCATTATTAGGTTTTAGCATAACCAGTACATAACAAGGTTAATCTTTACAGTATGGATACACTAAGCTAAGGCTAACTGAAGATGATATTCTTTAAAGGACAAAATGTTGCAGTTGTCAGTACAAGAAATAATCTGCAGACACAAAAGGTAACACCACGAATAAAGGTAAAATATTGCAGAAAGCACTACTCACTTCCTAAATCCACTCAGTGCTACCAAGTTTCTGCTTTATCTTGCCAAGCATATAGTGATGAAGAAAACTTTGCCAGGGGTTGTTGTCTGATAGCGCCTGAAGATCACACCCAATCACAGCAACTTAGATTGTTGGATAAATTTTGAGACTTAGTATCCTGCGAGTCCGTCCAAACTATAAAGAATTACTGTACAGTACAGACACGCACCAGAGACATCACAAAATTTATTCAACAATCTAAGTTGCCATGACTGGGAAATGTCATGTTCACCTCAGTATGCACAGCATTATAGAGCTGAAGCTCGGGAGCACAGAGTGCATTCAGGCTGTGAGCGGCACTTTCTCCAATTTTTTTCCTTCATTTATGGCATCACTGTTTATTCTGCAGATTATTTCTTAAACCAACAACAGCAACTTTTAGTCCTCTGTAAGAATATCATATTAAATTTGCCCTAGCTTTGTGCATCCATAATGTAGAGATTTACTAAGTAAGTAGTAGTATATGTTACATAGAGAAAGTATACATTAAGTTATCTGTAAAAGATACATAATCACATGCTTATTTGGAAAAATCCACTACTCAGGGTAAATTTCTAGATTGAATTTTGTTTTGGCAAAGCTAGTTCTGAATTTCATCCTAATAACAAATTGGCAAGTGATGATAGATATTTGAGAAAGAGAGAGAGAGAGAGATATGTATGCAAGGACTTCAAAATCTTTAATCACTATCTCAGAATCATGGCACTGCATACTTCTGGTTCTGTAAATTGGCGATAGAATATTGTATTTTGACACTAGGCCTAGTCACCAAGTTCTCTGATTACCTGCCCTTGCCATAGGCAAAAAAGCAAAAATACTTTTCTGATTGAAGTGCATTAATGTATACACATCCATCCCTATGATAAAAGTGAAAGATTACTCAAACAAAACATTTTAATAAAAGCATTTTCAGCAAATTGAACTGAGACCGCCTTTCAGCGACATGACTTCATATAATGAGACAGAAAATGAGGACACTTGCAGCTCATATCAAAAATGCGAAAACTATAATATTTCGCCCACATATGCATGCTACTGGATCATTTTCCACAAGGAGGAAAAAAATGTCACAATACATCACAAGAAGTCAGTTTACATATTTCCCTTAATTTAATACCATTTTCTTTCTTGCCATTCCTTCGCACTCAAATGAAGTAGTTGGAACAGGTGGAACAGGTAGGCCTAGGTGTATGTAGGTGTTAAATAGGTAGAATAGGTAGGCCTGGATGTGGAACAGGTAGAACAGGTAGGCCTAGGTGTAAGGTGTGAAATAGGTGGAGCAGGTAGGCCTGGGTGTGGAACAGGTGGAGGCGGTGGACAGCACAAAACAGGTGGACTTTGTTGAAGGTACAGCACAAGTGGAAGGTGTAAACGAGGTGAATGAGAAGAGAAGACTAAAAAGGGTGAGAGAGGAAAGAATAACAGAGGTGAGGGGGAGGACAGCGTAGGGTGAAGGCGTAAGAATGGTGGAGAAGGAGGAGATAATTTTAAAAGGTGGAGAACGAGAACGGCTCCAAAGAGGAGGACGAGCAGGAAGGTACAGAACAGGTGGAAGAGGCCGGATCTGTCAACATCTGTTCCACTTCACAAGTCCCGTTACTTTGGCCCTT